CGTTTTCCTAGTAACAACTTCCATTTATTATTTTTTAGATAATGTTTCCATTTAATTTTCAGCACTTTTTAATCTATTATTGGCGACTCAGCGTACTTGACCGCTATCCTTGAACTCATTTTTAGAGGAAATAATCACGTAATGTAAACTACCGAGCGACGTAAGTCTAGCAATGGCACTCATAAATCATACTTGCGGGGGCAGGAACTTTTTCAAAGAAAATAACGTAGGTAATTGAGAGAGATAATATCTGTATATCGGAGCAAACTTTACATATTTCATTGATCCTAAACGACTTTTTATGCTCTATTTAGTATGTAATACAAAATTCCATATTCTGTTAGCAATTATTTTGATTTTAATTGACTTTCGCGTAAAAATGGATACTACTATACGGGGGCTTCAGAAGAAAGTAGATCGATAACATCAAATCGCGTCTCATTTTTTTTTAATGTTTATTTTGGGTATGAGTATGAATAATGGGCTAGAAAGGCACTATGGCCGGTCTAGGTATCGGGAAAATGGAGAAAAGTTCAGATCAAATGGAGAAAAGTTTAGATCAAATGGAGACAAGTTCAGATCAGCAAAGATTATTGAAATATTTATAGAATAAGGATACATATACAACTAATTTAATAGTTATACTAGAGCAGTGGTCGCCAACCTGTCGATCGCGAGCTACCGGTAGCTCGCGGAAGCAATTCTGGTAGCTCTCACAACGATTTTAATTTAAAAAATACAAACTGCAAAAATCAGAGAAGCTTCCGAAAATTCCACAAAAAAATCTAATTGTCATAATATTAAACATAAACAGCGGCAACGTTGCGGTGAGCGATCTGCCGCTGACGCCATCAAGCTAGAATCGGCTAGAACCGACCAGCCGGACCAGCGCGTTAGTGTTCGAGAACGATCAGGATTGCTTTGAACGGGATAAATACGCACGGCGCGGCGACATTGCGCTTAGTTTAAAACTGAACGCGTAAGCAACGTCCAGCGGTTGGGTTAGTAGAGAACAACAAAAAATATTATTATGACATACCACTTTCATTCGGAATGGGAAGAACAATACTTTTTTTACAGAAGTTAAAGATAAAAATGTGTGTTTGTTATGTAATACTTCGGTCTCCGTTGCTAAAAAAGGAAATATTGGGAGACATCATAAAACTGTACATTCTAATTTTGAAAAATCATTCCCACTACATTCTGCCGCCAGAAAGGAGAAACTGAAACAGTTAAAAAAGCAGTTAATTGGACAACAATCAAGAACAGTCGACAAAAATAAGGCTGCAACTGAAGCATCGTACCGTGTGTCCCAGATAATTGCACAAAAAAAGAAACCTTATGAAGACGGGGAAATGATAAAACAGGCATTTTTAGAAGCTGCTGATTCGTTATTTGCCAACTTTAGAAATAAAGACGAGATAGTTTCAGCTATAAAATCTATGCAACTTTCTGCTAATACAGTGATGAGACGTGTAGAAGTAATGAGCAATGATATTTTTTTACAGTAAAGAACTGACTTAGATAACTGTGTTTACTTCAACTGGATGAATCAACAGATGTCGTTGACACTGCCCAGAAGGCCGTGTTCGTCAGGATGGTTTTTAGTGATTTTACGATTAAAGAAGATCTTTTGAAGTTTATTCCACTGAAAGGACACACTACTGGACAGGAGTTGTTTTCTCATTTAAAAAATATTATTTCTTCCGAGAAAATTCCAATATCGAAAATGGTAGGCTTGACAACCGATGGCGCTCCAGCTATGGTGGGATGTGATAAGGGTCTGGTGGCGTTATGTCGTAAAGATGAAACTTTTCCGCAATTTCTCTGTTACCACTGCATTATCCATCAGCAAGCATTATGTGGAAATTTCCTGAAACTAAACAACGTTATGAAACTGGTGGTAAAAATTGTGAACAAGATTAGAGCTCAAGCGTTACAAAAAAGATTATTCAAAACCTTGGCCGATAAAGTTGACTGTCAATACGGAGACCTACTCCTTCACTCTGAAGTCCGATGGTTAAGTAGAGGACGGGTGCTGAAACGTTTTAATGATGTCCTATCTGGCATAGTTCAATTTTTCAAACAACGCGATGAACCGACTCCGGAACTAGAAAATTCAATCTGGCTTAGAGATTTTGGTTTTCTCGTGGACATTACAGAGAAATTAAACGAACTTAATTTGCAGCTTCAGGGGAGAGACAAAGAACTAGCGGAAATGATTTCTGATATAAAAGCATTTATCAAAAAGCTGGAGTTTTGGGAACAAAACCTAATTAACAGCGATGCCAAGCATTTTCCTATTCTTTCAGAAAAAATATCTCAAAATCCATTAGAACCCTATGACAGCAAATATCATGTAGAAATAGTTTCTACCCTGAAGAATAACTTCAAAAATCGTTTTAAGGATTTCAACGAAATGGCTTTAGTAGCGCAGTTTGTTATTTCACCCTTTATGGAAATTGATATCCAACAGTTTGCAACAGAAATGGAAGTAATTGAGTTTCAAAATGATTTAGCCTTAAAATCGTTAGTCTCAAGTACCAAATTAATGTATCTGGCCTATTGTAAGTAAAGACAAATATTCACTTCTATGCCGTGTTGCCTTGAAAGTGAAAGCATTATTCAGTTCAACCTATTTGTGTGAATCTTCTTTTTCCAATATGATTTATTAAGAACAAATATCGCAATCGACTTACAGATGAACATTTGGATAATTGTATTCGAATGGCTGTATCAAATTATACTGCAGATATTAAAAAAATTATCCATGAGTTTGAGTGTCAGCCTTCTCATTGAACGTGCTTTTTTATTTTTCAATGTTTATGTTCATGATAGTGCGTTACTTTTTTGTTGTTATTATTAACTATTTTTAAATCTTACGTGACATGCCGTTGTGGCTGGATAAAAGTTTGTGTTTATTTTTCAAACACCTTCGTTTGATAGGTAGGAATGTAGCTATGAACAAGTACGTACTAGTAATATTAGTTATTTTGTTATTAGTTTATTATTAGTGGTACCTATGGATTATGTATTACCAGTTAAATAGTAAAATAAATACATATAATGATAAATTAACTATGGATTATTTCATTTACGTTGCGTTACGTGGCTTCCGTGTGGGTAGCTCGCTGTTTATTCCAAAATTAACAAAGTAGCTCAACACATTAAGAGGTTGGCGACCAGTGATCTAGATAGTAATATAGCAGATCAAGCAGGATCGAATAGCTTGACAAATGAAACTCCAGAGGGAATTGACGGTGCTCAAATCTAGCGAAGCCCTAATTGACTCAGTGCAACACAAAGAAGATGAAACTAGAAGTATAACAGAAAATAAACAACCTCCTGAAGAACTGGCCAACAATATAGAAATGACTAATAATGCTGTTTTAGAAAACAAAAGCAGTCAAAATGGAGAAAATAGGGCGTTGAAGACCATCTTTCCATCCAATGACGTACTGCCAAAAAAAATCGTCCATTTGAAACTCATTTAAAATTTCTACTACCTTCTAAAAAATCAGAAAATAAACCACCAAAAGAAAAGCTGCCTAGAGCTATTTCGTCTGAGGCTTGGAGAAAGTTAATTCATCAAAAAGAGAAAATATAAAAAGCAAGATTGAGAAAGATTAAAAAAGAAACTAAACGGAAAATTGAAAAAAGAAGAATACCAGAAATATCAAAAATCAACCCTTAGAAATCGAAAAATATTGAAGGATTGTTTAAGGAAAAATGCGGCCTATGTGAGGAGGAACTTATTAGTGACACAGAAGAGAATGACGAGAAAAACATAGGATGCGACCTTTGTCCTGAATGGTATCACTTAAAATGAACGGAACTGTGTGATTTACCTTATGAAATAACGTCCTCCAAGTATTATAAATGCGATCTATGTAAATAACATTTTTAAACAAAAAAAAAACTTTTACTTTTTTAATGATAATTTTAATTTTGTTTTTTAATATATTTTATTATTATTATATTATATATTATATTATTTACCTATTTCCTTAAAACTATGCTGACTCGAACTGGTTGATATCTGGGTTGTTTTAGGCCATCTGGTCGAAAAATGGGTAAGTGTTGGCCGGTGATGGGCATATGAGAGCCGAAAATAGGAAATAAACGCATTTTTTTTTAGCCAAAATATTTATTAAAAGCCTTTTTTGTATCAATTTATAAAAAATGCTGGTAAATAATGAATCTTTAAACTTAATTTTAATGGTATGGAACAAGAAAAATATTTAAAATTGATAAGTGAGAAATAACTTTTGAGTAAAAAATGGTTGACAATCACCCTATATTAAATGACAGTCTCTATATTCTTGAAAAAAAAAACCGTTTATTTATTCGTGTATAACCCTTAATTTAGATTACTTACTTCTGAATTAATATATTTTTCATAATAATAACAATTATATAGAGGTTGAGTGAAAGATCAGTTTTCATATTTGCTTATGCAAATCTGAAAGCTGACCTTTGCCTTTTGGTAAATTATTTTTAATAAATTGTACTATTTTTATTTTATAATTTTCACATACCAATAAAATCATATTTATTTATAATGAAATCAAATCAAAACAAGGTCGTGACCGAAATATTTTTTTAAATTAGACCGTTTTTGCATTATTACAATTTATTAGTTATAATCTAATCAGTTACAATCACAATAATAAGTCGGTTAAGCCAATCATGTTCCTAAAAATTACGCAGTTTTAGGTATTGGGGTTAGATCTTTTCACAATTATTAGGCACCGTTGCCACATATCAAAATAAAAACTTAACATTTTAAAGTTTAATAATCACAATCAAAATGTTTTCTCGAATTAAAAAAATGGATGAAACCGATATTTATATGTCATCAATTTAGTTTTTATACCTCGTGTTAGATGTATGTTTTATCAGTTAAGCATTATAGCAAACTGGTGGTTTAACTTAGTACGTGCAGTCCTTATAGGAAACCCTGTTTTAAGACTATTTTACGAAACATTTGGAATACTGACCTGTGTGTAACACCAATTTTCGGCAACGGGCGTGTTGACCTCTTGTGGCGGCGGGCTCGGGACGCGGCTCACGGCCATAGTACTCGTCGGATGCAGGTTGGAGGTTACCCGGGCCGTTTGCCCGGCCGAGCAATCACTCACCCCCGGCAATCTGAAACAACAACAAAATTTGTTAAAAAAAAAAAAATCATTTGAATATTTCCACAAAATAACAAAGGTTTGAGAACGACATAGGTAAGTCTGAGCGTTTTTATATGCCGCACCGTTCGTTTTTTTTTTTAAGTCAGGGGTGGCTATGAAAGTCAAAAATCGCTCAGATATTCTTCGTGAACGGGCAATAAAAAAATGTAACATTGCCAAGTGGCTTTAAATTTTTTTATATTTACAATCTTTTCATTTGTGAATCTCATGCATACAGTTTCCAACACAGAGAGAAATTTGTCTGGTAGATCGAGCTATAGTTATCATTACAGGTTATTATATGATCATTTTCCTTATAAATGCTAACAAAAACATCTCCGGAAACGTGCGGATAAATACAGCTTTGAGGCATTAATTAAAGATATTTAGCAAAATTTGGTATACAATTGGAAATGTTTATTAGCGGCTTTTAACATAGTGTATGCTTGTTTTAGGTTTGGAGGGTGCATCAGGAGTAAGGGTTGTGACCCTTCAATATGACCGCATGAAGACAGAAAATTTGCCTAATTTAAATGCCAAATTAAACTATCTAAAAGATCAACTTTTGTCATGTGAAGGTTATAATGAAGATCAAATTATTAATTTGAAACGTGGTTTTGCCCATTTCAAATCAGAAATTAAACAAAGGTGGACCAAAGCTCATTATAAAGATAATTTTATAAAATACAACCGATCTTGGCTGAATGGTACTTTTTAAATACCTTTCGGTGGGGCTTCACAAAAACGACCAGGTCGACCATCTAAATCACAAAGCACATAGAGGTTCCACGTGAATGACCAAGGTCAAAACCGACAACTGACATTTTTTATGCTATTTGCTCCAAACTCTAGATGGGGCTACTGGTGAAATTATGATTTCTTACTCCATTTTTAAGCCTTATGGGAGAAAAACTTAACCAAAGACTCCAAAGATGTGACGTGTATTTATTTATGTTCTTGGTGTTTCATTTTTCCGTCTGATTTTAGTGATTTTTTTGTTGGCTTTGGCTTTTAGTTTCTGTTTATAGTTTCGTCTTAGTTATTTGCAAAATTGTGATGTTTCGCTTTTTTATTTCCTACTGTGTTTTGCAATAATTTTGGTGCTACGTTGAAAACTTCGGGAAAAACTTCATTGATTCACCATATATTCACCATGCATCTGCATCATAAAAAGACAAACGGGGACAACAACTAATTGATAATCAATTTATCACTGGACTAGATTCCGAAATCTGTATCACCATCTGTATTTGGAAGGAAAATACCTATTTATCATTGAATGAATAGTTAAAAGGATTCACCTTTTAATACAATACCTATATTACATTTGTCCTCAGTTAAAAAGACATTTATAAAATATATAACTTTAGTGTTAATAAAATGTAATATCCTATTCTCTACTTCACATTTAAATTATTGATAGGTATTTTAAAGATTTGAGATTATATATCTATTTGCTCCAAGTAAGTATTAGTTAAATATGTATTATTATTTGTATTTATTTTTATCTAATAATATTTATTTAAGTTATTAATAAACATATTTTAAGAATGTTCTATTTTATTATTTATTGATATATCTTATATTTATTTAATAAAAATATGCAGAACCAACTCTCCACATTAGACCCCTTATAACAAATTAATTCTTCAAATTTGGTATAATCGACCTAAATTATTTTATAAAATAAAAGTTTCGAACTTACTAGTTCCATACTTTATTTTATAAAATAATTTATGTGGAAATCATTTAAAATTTAATTTAAAACTACTACTTACTCCTAAAAATTACAATTTGAATTTACCGCCATCTGTCAATTGTCATTTTAGTTCCAGCTCCAAACACAAGGTGGCGCTAATTTGGTTTAAAAGTTTAACAATGGCGTGGGGTCTCTAGAAGATACATGCTTTGTGATCCAAATCGTTTGAAGATGCAAGTGAGAGAAGCAAAAGACGAAAGACTGAAGAACTGCGTTCTAATTTTGAAAAGGAGATCATAATACATGCTGCGAAAATCTGATAAAAAAGATGCATCAAATGTCTTAAAAGATATCACCAGTTCTGCGACACGAGCAACTAAATATGAAAATGCTTATCTTACGGAATCAAGTAAAGAGCACTCCTTGACACCAATGCAAGTTTTGCAAATGTTTATAGATGCTGATTTGACGCAAGGACAGTACAAAATCATAAGAAAAACTCATAAGAAGTCTTTTCCGTGCTATAGTGCATTACAAAAAGAAAAAAGAAATGTTTCCCACCTCAAGAATCGCTAATGGTAACGAGTACCAGTGCCGAAGCTCAGTTACAGCCTCTATTGGATGTTAGCGTTAGGCGTACCTAGAAGAGGTATTAATAACTTTAAAGGAGAAATAGCGTCATTGCCTAACTATAATAATTAGTAAATGGGGCTGCGATGGGTCTCAACAATCACAGTTCAAACAAAAACTAGAAAGTGACATTGATTCGGATTCAAGCATATTCCAAAGCTGTTTAGTGCCTCTTTAATTAGTTTCTGGAGATAAAAAAATAGTTTTATGGAATAATCCAACGCCTTCTTCGCCGCGATTTTGTCGACCAATAAGATTCCGTTTTATCAAGGAAACTAATGATGTAACTGAAGAGGAAATAACACACGTCAAAAGCGCTATTACCTCTTTAGTCCCAACAGAGGTCGACCTAGGAGGGAAAAAGTTGTTAATCAAGCACAAATTTATCATGACCATGGTAGATGGAAAGGTCTGCAATGCAGCTACAAGCACAAAGTCTACCAGTAGGTGCTGCATATGTGGGGCAACCTCAGAATATTTTAATAAATTGGATTACAAAGGAGAAGTGAATTTTATAGCCCTTGAATTCGGCATATCTGTGTTACATGCTAGAATTCGATTATTTAAATACATCCTAAACTTAGCAAATAAACTTAAAGTGAAAAAATATAGGGGAAGAAAATCTAAAGAGGAGAAAGACCTAGAAGATCAAACCAAAAGAGAGATACAAACAACACGGAAAAAAATGTGACTAGAAAATTTTACTACAATGTTGTAGTAGTAGACTTGTAGAAAAATACTTAACAATTTGTAGAAAATTTTACTACAATTTATAGTTAAAAACTATTAATTATTGTAGCAATTGAATTGTCGAATAAAATTCTACAACAATAGTCCACAATGTATATTTTACTATTGTTAGTAGAAGTAGAAATTTATTACAATTATCGTAATTACTACTACTAACTTCTGTAAAAATTTGTACAAATATTAATAATTATCTCTACAAAAAATAGTAGTTTTCTCTACAAAAAATAGTAATTTTCTCTACAAAAAATAGTAATACTTTACATCCCTTCTTCAAAAATATTCTATAATATTGTAGAAATTCTAAGTCATGTGAACAAAACAGAATTCTGCTATTGGCCAACGTTTTCTGACGTCGATCATAAACGGCCAGACAGCAGTAGCCGTTCGCCATGTTCACATAACAAAGCATGGTACATATACGAGTACCTATAACACATTATTATATTATAAGCACCGATGCGTTTGAGAAAATTTTAATAATAAATTCTATTGGTGGTAAGTACATTTATTATTGTTTCTGAATAATTTACCTTTAGATAAATAATTTAAATAACCTTAGTAGATTATAAAAAAATAGTTGTTGCCAACGATCAAATGTTGTGCCCAACGATCGAATTTTGTGCCAAGTTCAATGATGTTTTTTTTGTCTTAATTGTGACATACCTACTTTCTCATTTTTGTTAGTTATCTGACTTGGTCATTTAATATCCAAATCAGTGTAAAGGTGATAAATATCCCCGTTTTAAGGGTATGAACAATTCAATTGGTATTAATTTCTATTTCATATTTTTCAGGTGCAGAAAAGCCAACTGAGACTGAGGGCACTATTATTACTGTTATTTATTACATAATGTAATTAAGAATTTGTATATTTTATATTAAAACAATAAATTGAACATTTTATTAAGGAACATTTTTTTCTAGGTTATAATTATAATAATTATGGAATACTACTACAAATTTTATTAAAAATTACTACAATTTGTATGAATTTTTACTATTTATTGTGTAAAATTTTCGTATTTATTTTCATAAAACGCAATACATTTTTAATATAACTTCATACAATGAATAGCAAAAATTATAACAATTTGTAGAACAATTCTTATGATGCATTTGGATCTTTTTACTAAATATTGTAGATAATAACTCTACAATACATTCTCCACAAATATTTGGAAATTTTTACTACAAATTGTCCCTGTCCCTATATGTACTATTTATTGTAGAGAAAAAATCTACAATTGTAGAAATTTGTTCTACAATTTTTTTTCCGTGAAGGTTCCGCACTAAAACAGGTTTACTAATCGATATGCCTAAATCCAATTTCGGGAATACAAATGATGGAAATACTAGCAGAAGGTTCTTTGAGAATCCCACATTAGCTGCAGAAATAACTGGCATTAGCTATGAACTGATATACAGACTAAAAGTCATATCGGAAGCAATTTCAAGCGGATTTGAAATTGTTCCGGTAAATTATGAGATATGCTTCAGAAACTGCTCGACTTTATGTTAAGTTGTGTGATTGGTATCCTATGACGCCAACAATGCACAAGATTTTAGTGCATGGTGCAGTCATTATTGAAAAGGCATTGTCACCAATCGGACAGCTTTCCGAGGAAGGAGCTGAGGCTCGAAATAAACATTTCAGAAGTTACCGACAAGATTTTGCGAGGAAATTTTCCAGGGAAAGTTGTAATCAGGACATTTTTAATCGCCTTCTGCTTAGTTCAGATCATGTGCTAAGTAGCATGCGAAATGTAAAAAAAAAGAAAAGCAAAAACATTTTTGCCTGAAACCTTTACCATGTTTGTATCTGCAACATCCCATATTGAAACAGGAAGTTCATCAGAGAGCGACGAAGAAAGTCAAGAAACTTAACAATTATT